CTTTAGGAATCCACTTGGTAACGACCCTTCGATGTTGGTTCCACACAGAGTCAATGTTATAATAAAAATCCCGCCAAGAGAAAATGTTGCGAACAATCAGCACTGTTTGTAATTTATTTTTCTTCAGAGTAAACGGCAACCAGATTTTTTGCGGATTGATGATGATTTTTTGCGGATGACTTTTATTCAGAAGTGAATAATTTTATCTCGATAGCGGAGCTTCTAGGAGACAAAAAAAAACATTGTAGAACCTGAAAAATATTCGAACAAATGCCTGGTATAACTTATAAGCGGCTGTTTATTAACTACGTAGACGTTTTTTGGGATTCTTGATCCTCCCTCCCCCTGCGTAGACAATTGTCCATACAAAATGTTTTAAATTTAAATGGGTTGTGGATAATTGTCAACCTCCTCTCCCTAAACTGTTTACGTAGTTTAGGAACAGCTCCTAAAGAACACAATGTACTAAATTAAGCGAAGTAATGTTTATCATCTAAAATTACTAAAATATTGTCAGTAATGAATGCAATACTGGCTGTGGGAACAATAATGTTTATTTACTTTGCTTGTTTGGGACCCCACTTGACAGTTCGATTCGTACTTCTGGCTTCACTCTTGGCGGGACTCTGATTATAACTTTGACTTTGGTTCCGCATATCGCTTTCTTGAAGGACGCCCACCTGTACAATAAAATCTAGCTCTCTCGACGTTGGCCGCGCTGATCGTGATCTCTTCACATTTCTATTTGTATTCGGCCGTCGAGTTATCTCTGCCGGACGGGGCACTGCCCCCTACGGTGGAGCTTTACCTTGTTCGCGCATCCATTCATCACAACAACCCCAATACAATTCTCGTTCTCATTATTTTTTTTAAATTTTGTCTGTATATTAAGCCGGCTCCGGTGGTGTAATGGTAAGCGTGACTGCTTTCTCACCCCAATAGGTCTGGGTTCAATCCAAAGCCGAGGTCAGTGGGATTTTTCTGAGGCATGCAAATCTCTGGTCACGTCTTCCTTCGAAAGGGAAATAAAGCCGTTGGTCCCGGCCCATGTGTTGTGTTGAATGGGTGCGATATCCTACGCATGTGTGAAAGCTGTCTTCCTGCACATTCAATTGCCGTCAATGGATGGCAATCGATGTCCGTCGGTGATTGGCACTAGATTGCGGAACAGACACCGACGTTAAATAAAGGAATGAAGAATGAAGAAGTCTGTATATTTCGCTGTTAATTACAGCCATGAATGTATAATTTAAACCTCGCTTTAGAAGCTGGCCACAATTTTTGATGTCGGTTTTATTACTTCAACAAGTCCTTATGCACACTAAGATTTTTTTTTCGTCTTCGGTAAATTTTACCGAAATCAGAACAGCTGAACGTTCGGTAAAACTTTGACCTTTAAGGTTATTGAACTTGAAAATAATTTCAAAACATGTTCAACCTTGCTTAAATGATCAATTCTTGTCATTTTAGAGGAGATTTAGTTTCAAAGTAGCTGAAAATCAATTGAATTGAATTGCATAAATTTTACCGAACGGTTCAGCTGTTCAGATTTCGGTAAAAATTACCGAAGTCGGCGATAATTTCTAAGTGTGTAGCTGATTCACGGCTGATTGAAATCTTGAAAGCCCTATGGCATGGTACTCAATGAAATCCCGCAGATGGTGATTATCAGCTTCTTTCCCAGAAAATGTTACATTCGATTCAAAACCATTTATCACAACGGTCAGTTCGTACAATAGCTTCATCGTTGGGACCAGAATTGACAGGAAATTGTCACTCGCCATAACAGGATAAAGCACCCCTAGCGGCGTCGGTAGTGTAGTGGTAAGCCTGGGTTCAATCCCAGTCGGCGCTGCCGGGATGTTCTGAGGCATAACATCTCTGATCACGCCTTCCTTCGGAAAGGAAATAAAGCCGTTGGTCCCCGGTTCGTGGGAGCTGCCTCCCTGGCGTCGGTAGCATTGGTGCTCAGCATGGAAAGCAAAATCGACGGAAAACAAATCAAGGAAAAAAAGGATAAGGCACCCGAAATACCGTGTAGATCCGTTGCACAATGTTCACCATTTTTGGACTGGAGCTACCCAGATTAGGGTTACCATTTAAAAAAATTGAAAAGGAGGACATTTCATTTCAATTTTAGAGGAAAAGGAGGACAATGTATGTAGATATTCTTTATCATCAATAGAGGAGGCCCGAGTAACACATTTCCGTCACAATAAGTTGCAGCAACTTGTTTATGACTGATATTAGTTGTATAGAAGTTGCCACAATTGATTTGTGACAAGCGTCTAAGCGTGCTACTAGGGGGACAACGAGTTTTTATCAAACGTTTTGAAAACATATGCACTTACTCAAAATTTATTATTTTCAGTGTAGTGTAGTGTAGTCGTCATCAATTCGGTAAAAATCATCATTCTTTTAAGGGAAAAGGGGACGTCATTAATTTTTGGAAATTCAAAAGCAGTTTTTTCGAATAAAACCGAAATTCTGTCAATGATAAAGTGTTCACTGTGTTCCAGTAGCCAAGTAGAATCCAATGAACAAATTTTCGTTTGCGTTATTTTGGTTTTGAACGAAAAAACTGATTTTGAATATTTAAAAATTAATGACTTTCCCTTTTGGTAATTGGCAGTTTGTCTATTGGGTTACGTTATATTAAAAAGCAATAATCCTTTCTAAAGGCTGCAACTACCTAGCTTTCAAAATTAATTATACAGTACCGGTAAAATTAGGGTACTAATGCTGGATTTTTTGTCCTTCTAAACAAGTTTAATAGACTGCAATTTTTTAATATGAGCATTGAAAATTATGAAATTCTTACTGCAGGTTGGTTAAATAATAAAAAAAAAATAACGGAATTATTGTGAGCTTAAACAGTTGAATCAGCTTAAACTTCCAATGATTTTAGTAAAACGTATCTTATTTGGCAACCATTTTCCAAATTGTTCGCTCGTCAAGCAGAATAAACTACTACTATTTTTTTCTAGTCGAAACATTATTTCACAGACAAACAGACATAACACATTGAATATTTCTCACTGTAAAACATCGTCGCTAAAACATTACCGCCATCTGTTGAGTACACTGTGGTGGGTAGTACACTGCACAGGTGGCGGTAGTGTGTAAACGTCAAACGCAAGGGAAATGACTATGCACGCCACAGGTGGTGGTACTACCAACTACGATACTTTTAAATTGACCGTTAAATGCTTGTTCGATGAACAACTTGCGAGTGTTATGTCTGTTTGTCTGTGATTATTTTATTCGAAAACATCAGAATTTATGGTCAACGAATAGTATCATTTCTGAATCCATGATGGTGACTTTCATGTTTCAAAATTGCTTAAAATACACTACACTATGAGTATTTTGAGATTAGAGAAGACGAGACTATAAATTAAAAAAAAAGTTTGATTGATTTGATTGATTGTGCTTCAAGAAATTACAATTTTAAAAACGGTTTTCAAACAAAAAGCGTTTTACCACTTTACCGAAATAATTCATCCTTCATGCAGAGTCAACTTATCATCGTCCTAAAAATACCGGTAAATTTTGAATATTTAATCAACCAGCAGCCCAAATTTGTAGTAGCACAGCAAACAAGGAGTAGCAATTTCAAATTTGTATGTTTTGTGGAAGCTGACATTTGTGCCTTTAAAGTTTCACGCTAAGGCTTCCTTAAAGTTTCACCTTAAATGCACATACTAAAAAATTACAGCTCTTTGAACATTTTTTGGAGCGCAAAACACTTTAAAATTAGCCCTTTAATATGACTTAAGAGAGGAGTAGATTCAAAACAAACTGCCTTGGCAACCTCTGCCTGGTATGCTATCCAGATCTAAGAGGAAGATGAGACAACTGGCTTCTTACGTTTTTATCTCTATCTCTATCTCTCTCTTACGGACTTCAAATCGGCCAATCACGAGCTGGTTCGCGTTTGACAGAAAAGTGGTTCGTTTTCGTCCCCGGATTGTCTACTCTTCTCTTAGATCAAGATTGTCGCTGTTTGATTGGCTCTGGCTTTGACAGTTCCTTTTGGCTCAAAACCAGCCAGTCCGCTCCTCTCTTATACTAGACCCTTTATAATATGACCAGTTCTGTACATACTTGAAAATGAACCAGTGAACTGTTTTGCACGAAAACGTCAGTTTAATAACTTCAAAGCATTGGATGAGGTTGAGTCAAAATAAAATGGAAAATTTATTTATTAACATTTTGCTTGAAAATATTCATGGATTAAAAAGGAGGATATTTTGAGGCAAAAGGAGGAAATGTAAAAACATTCGAAAAAGAAGGACATGTCCTCCTTTAGGATACCATATGGTAACCCTAACCCAGATCGAATAAGAAAATCAACGCATCTGCCTCAACCCTACCGAAGATGGCAGCCATCACTTGAAAGACGATGTTTCCCACCAAAAAATAAATAGCTCGATTGATGGTTCGCTATCCTCTGAGTTTGATCCCGTTGGCATTTTCATCATTTTTGCGATAATCATGTCGATGAAACTCGCAGATGCAAATTAAATTTCTTAAGGATGATAAAAGATGGACCAAAAATAGTAGCAGATTCAATTAAAACATGCATTCCTTCTAGAAGGTGTGCAAGGGTTGGCTGAACGGTAAATGTTCCAAATTGTTCTTGGTAATTTAATGCTTGTATTTAAATGCACACCTGCACCAGCAAAAAGGAAGTCCAGAAGCAAATGTTGCATTGGGAGCACAAGCTTTTAAATCGATAATTTCCCCAACGAACCATGTTCAACAATGAAAATGCTTTGCAACACAGCGGTCACTCCAGTGAAAGCCAACTTTTTATGACGAGTTCTGTGTATGGTTTAGTGAAGGTTATGCGGTAAAAGTTTTTTTTTTTCTTGAAGGTAGTAATTTATTAAGCAATGGAAATAACAGCGTAAGGCAATACTTTTCGAAATATTGAATAAAGTTTTGAGAACCTTGTGATTGTCCAGTAGTTAATTTATTGCCTTTTTCATCATTCATTACATTACGAGCCGTTCTGGTTTCGATTTTCCCATTTTGATTGAATCGGAAAATCCCAACATGGTCACCTCCTCCTCCAACTGTTCCACTTTCAGCCACAGGCCTCCCGCTGGCGTCAGCATCAGATGGTTGGGTGAAATCTTCAGCGGGAAGCTCGATTTTGAACACTTGGAAAATTTGAAGCCCATCAACATCGCTGCCAGGCCAATCTTGGTTTCCATCATTCCGAACCGCGAAGCCACACACATTCGGGGCCCTTCACCGAATGGCATAAAGGTGAACGGTTTCCTCTTGGCACACTCTGCCGGGCTGAATCGATCTGGATCGAACTGCTCCGGATCCGGGTAGTACTCGGGATCATGGTGAATGGCGTAGATCGGTACAATGACATCCGTGCCTCTTTTCAGTGTTACGCCCGAACCCGGAACAATGTAGTCCTTGGTTGTGCTTCTGAGTGCATTCGATATGGGAGGATACTTTCTCAGGGACTCTGGAAATGCAAGTATTTTTATCCAAAGAAAATTAAAACCGCCATCCACTTACCATTTATGCACTGCTCCAGGTAAGGCATATCCATCAACGACTCATAGTTCAATCCACCATGCTTGGCCACAGCACTTCGAATACAGTCCCGCGCCAGGCATTGAGCCTTCTCGTTCAAAGACAGCTCGTACAGGCAGTAGGACATAGTTGTTCTCGACGTCTCGAATCCTCCCAGGAAGAACACGTACGATTGTGCCACCACCTCATCCAGCGTAAGCTTTACAGCGTTCTCTTCCGACCCATCAAGATCCCCCTTCTTCATAAGTTGCATCAGCAGATTCATAAAGTCATTTCTTTGAACATTATTCTTCTCTCGATAGCTGATCGTTTTTTGGACGATCGTCGAAAAGAAAGTCGCTACTTCGGAATCAGTTATTGTGATGCGACACCTCCTTGCAAAATCCTTGAATGTGGAGAGAAAGAAGAACGCAAGAATGGCAAAGGGAGAAACGTTAAACACCTTTTCACCCATCTTCCTAAATTCATCCTCGGGATTCTCCAAACTGTTACATTCTATGCCAAACGCACAACTCCCGATCACATCGGTGGTAAACCGTGCCAGAAGTTCTCGCATCTCGATATCCTCCTGTTTTGCGATGCATTTTTCGATGCATGCTTTGAAGCGATCGGCAACGCTGACAACCGTCGGGCACATCATTTTGAGCTTCCCGGAGGAAAACGTCGGCACCAACTTCCTGCGCAGGGTTGTCCACTTTGTTCCTTCTATGTTGAACAGATGACTGGAAAGGGGATCGTCCTGTTCGTTATAGTAGAGTCCGCGATCGTGGAAGGACTGAAAATCACGCACTAGGACATTTTTCACGAACTCCAAATCCAGTGCAAGAGCTACGGGTTGTAGAAAATAGAAAATGCCAGCGAAGGGATGGGATCCTTTCAATTTTTGGTAGAATTGCGCCAGCAGCTGAGACGAATGAATACGAGTTCCGATGTTCCCGACACTTCCCAGCGGGAATCGTCCCTTGATGTAGGGAACTCCAGCGCGCTTCCAATAGGAGTATCTTCTTCGCACGAGATAAACTGCTAGGATGATTGTAGTTAATAGCAGGATAAGCCACATATTCGGACTCGATGAATTGTCAACGAAAAAACGGTTGGAATCGAGTCAATTCAGCGTGTTGTTCCTGCAAATGATTTCAAAGAACTGATGATATTCCTCAATGGAACCAATCTGTTTACAAGCAAGGCACAAAGTTCTCAGCAAACGATCGATAGTAGAAAATTTCGTCGTGGATCTCGTTCGCCTTGTCCCATTTTGATGACACATATTTACCTTGAACACAAAGGGCTAGACTGGGAGGGTGTCGTCTTTGTTTTTTTATCGGGCACAACAAGCATAATCTACTTTGCTTAATATGTTGTTGGTTTTGAATTTTGAATTGTATTTGTATTTAATATTCGCTTCCGCGGGAAATCCATTGACTAACCATGAGACTTTTATTTTTTCAATGACGATGAAGATTTGAAACTTTTATTTTTATTGAACTAGTGACAAAGCAATGTGGATCAGGAAATTTTGGGTGTGCGTCTAGGGATCATTGATGGTTGATTTGGAGGACATAAAACCATTTTGTATGTTAACGAGTGTTTTGTGACAACTACACAGCCCAGCACACATTCAATTCTGAATTAAAGTACATTGTGTTTTTTCAGCTTATATATGGCTTATTCAGCTGTTGATCAGCGCAACTTGTCTGTTAGATGATGATGATGATGATGGTTTGAGCTAGACGATTTATCTTTATGATAATTAAATATGACAATTTAACAAGGTTTGTAAACAAAATCGAACTGGTTACAGTTACAGATATAAATTCTCTCTAGAGTTTACAGTTGCTGCACAGCGATATAAATGTGGAAAAACTCAGGCGTCCACCTCTTAGTTTGCCTTTTTGTCTACCTAAAATATTCATAAGTATTTCAAGCGATCAAGAATTAATAAACAATCAACAAAGCATCCTATTACACTAGCAACCCCGTAAACTGATACTATCATAATTTTCAGCAATGTCAGGAATGCTCACGAACCCCCAAAATTTGCCAGGAAACTTACTACTAACTCCGAATAAGCTTCAAAATTGCATTTTTGTTTAATCAAATGTTAAATTCAGTCCTCTTTGTCCGTAATACGTGCGCGAGGCTCAAACCTTTATAGACTACTATTTTTTTTAAATCTACTACTATTAAATCAAATATAAAAAAAATCCATCATCACCATCGAGGCGAACAAAAATTGTTTGTGCAGTGCTGCAATAATTATGAAAATGTCATTATGAGATAACTTCGTCAAGATACATACTTTGTCTATTCATGAATAAATCATTGGAAAATTGTTCAAAAGACAGTGTTGACGCGTGAAATTCAGTGTCTTTTAAATTTTGTTTGTGATGCTGAACGTTTGATATGCATAGGACTCGAATTGAAAACATTTATTCCTATAAAATATAATGAATTTTGTGAAGCACAGGTCAAGAAATGTTGTGTTCTTATTTCAACCGCGTTTATAGTATTATATCAAGGAAAGTCACTTCCTCTTTCAATTCGATCACACAAATAACGAAGCAGCAAACCGTTAACTACTTTAAAAATGAACACCATAGTCAAATACACAATTCTTTGCTTCACCGACAACTATTGTAAGGCATCTAGGATCAAAGTTGAGGAAGTGAATCTATTACATCCCTATATCAAACGCATTTTTTTTATTCTGCAAGCGCTGTAATTTCGATATTTGTGTTTCATTGGTCAGAAATAAAATGGAAGGGCAAAACTCTAGATGAGGAGATATGATTGATTTGTATGGCTATATGTTACTGGCAATAGTTAAATCGTTTTTCAGTCGACTTGGAATTCCATACTTCTTGGCAATTTTCCTAATGTTATTGTCAATGTGAGAGTTTAAATTAAGTTTGTCATCAATAATCACGCCAAGATATTTAATCTCCCGAACGCGATTAAAAGTCTCATCATCAATTACAGCAGAGACATTCTTATTAAATCGATTCCGAGAATTTACCATAAAGTTAGTTTAACTTGTTTAGCTGCTTATACTCCAACAATCTACTTAGAGAACGCAAATCTTCATTCAAGTGTAAATCGGCATCATCTAAAACAGTGAATAACACAGTATCATCTGCAAAAAGATTAATGTCGCAAAATCGTAAGACTCGTCGCAAGTCATTTATATACATAATAAATATCAAGGGCCCTAATACACTTCCCTGGGGTACTCAAAGATAAGTCCTCACGGGACTGGAAACAGAATCATTGAAAACAGTCCGTTTAGTTCTGTCAGACAAATAGCTTTCAAAACATTTACATGCAGTATTCGTAATTCCAATATGCTTGATTGATCTTTACAATAAGGGCAAAGAAATTGTTTCAAAAGTGCGTTTTAAATCCAAAAATCAGCAACAATCGTATCTTTACACTCGAAGTTATTTTCCCACTTCGCAAATACTAAATTCAACGTGGTTTCACAAGAATGACCTTCCCGTTATCCCGATTGTTCTGGTATCAAAAAACTATAAATTTTTAAATACTTCAACACCTGGCCTTTAACAACAAGTTCGAAAATTTTCTCTAATGTGTTCAACATGTTGATGGGACAAAACTCTTCGGCTTTAATCTTTCCAGCAACTTTTTGAATAGGAACCACTAAGGATTTCTTCTAAATTTATGGCACATGTCCAGTTTCCAATGATTCATTAATAAGGCCCAGCAAAATGTGGCCAATGACATGAAAGCAATCTTGATTAACTCTAGCATTGTCTACTCTAGCCGATTTTCCTAAAGAAAAACAAATAACTCTAAGTTCATCTAATGTAATTGGGTGAAAAACTTCAAATCTACAACTACTTTTAATTGGCTGTGTTATTTCGTCAGGTTCATCGACCAATTCAACGGATTGATTAATCAATGAAACACTTTCGATAAAATAATCATTAAACTTAGCTGCAATTACTTGTTCTTACTGTTCTAATGTGTCATTAAAAGTTATGGACCGCGGTTTGCAATTACTAGGTTTTAATAAAGATTTGAATTATCGCCACTACTACAAGTTTCTTTACAAGAGGTATGTAATTCGTACTCAACATAATCTGCAAAGCCACCCCAAGGGATTCTGGTCGTTTGTGAAAAAAAAAAAAAAATGTTTCCCGGCAATAACGGTGCATTGACAACTGAGGACAAATCCAACCTATTTGCCGGGCACTTTTTAAGTGTCTTCTCGAATGACTCACCATCGCAAGCAGAAATCGAGCTAGCCGTCCGTGATGTGCCAATCGACGTCGTAAACATGGATATTTTTACCGTAGATGTGCAATTGGTTCTTTCTGTGATAAGTAAAACCGAATCATCATTTTCACCAGGTCCGAGGGTTATTCCATCGGGTGTCCTGAAAAAATGGTCCGATATCTTAGCTGCTCCGCTGTCCTTGCTCTTCAACCTGTCGCTTCACCAGCAGAAATTTCCCGCGCTTTTCAAGAAAGGAGACAAACGCAATGTGGAAAACTACCGTGGAATTACCTCGCACGGGGTTGAATCTAATGTCGTTTTCGTTTTTGCGGTGTAGCACTGGTGTAGTGTCAGCAGGAATAAGCGCGAGTCTTTGACAGCTCAACATCATTTGTTTGTAAACAAAGGTGCATCCTATATCTACACCCTAAAATATTTCGGTGTACTGCAGTGTAGCACCGGTGTAGCTACACCACAAAAACTAAAACGACATAAAGTGTTTGAGTCGCTGATAAATGAGAGATTGTTTGCTTCCTGCAAGCATTACATAATTACATGTCAACATGGCTTCTTTCCTGGCCGCTCCGTGGAAACGAATCAACCTGGTCTATACAAGGTGTGGAGATCTAGCCCTCACGTATGTGTTGGTAGAGGGAAAAAGGTAAACATTGCTGGAGAGGATGACCACGACGTCATAGCAGTCGAAAGCAAATTTGTGAAATATGAAGTACAGCAAATTCTAGATATGTTTGCATGATGATTGCTCTTGCTTGTATGCTTTTGTAAAGTATCCGGGAAATATCAGCAACCGTTTTGTATTTTTATAGTAGCTACTTACTTGAAAACGGGCAAAAACTGACCAGGAGGCTGCTTTTTCTTGGTATACAGTGTACTAATAAAATAATCAATACATTATCTCAAAATTCAGTGGAAAAAAATCATATATGTTGGCTTCATACAGAAATTCTATAATTCATATTCAATTTCCAATGCAAACGCTGATTGAAACAAACGTTATGACGTAACTACGAGCGTGTTTGAGCGTACGGAAGAAGCAAATCGTGCGAAGCCGACTGAAAGCCGAGTGAAAAACGAACTGCACCAATACGCACAGGCCATCAATTCCACACCTTGTATAGACCAGGTTGGAAACGAATCTCGTCAACTTTACGTCGTTCTGCATGGAAAATGTATGCAAGAAACTTCAAGTGGATGCCATATACACTGATCTTAAAGTTGCGTTTGATATCAAGAGCAAATTTTCATTATGTCGTAAGTAACATTCGCACCGATCCGAGAAAAATAAAGTTTTGTTTTGATGACCGAAAAGTTATTCCTATTTCCAATTAAACACATATAATCTCATAGTGATAGCAATGTTTAACATATTAAGCCGGGTTTTAATCATACAAATGCAATCGCTAGCTTTCATGCTAAAAAAATACTGGTTTTTGAGTCAAAAGTTATTATACGTCGTTTGGTGGCCCCTATTGTTACTTAAATCAAAGTGTATTTACCAGGATATTCGGGAGAATTATCAATTACGTCTACTTACGTGCAGCCCATTTAACATTTTAGGACCACCGAAATGATCTAAGCAACAAACAGTTCTATTTATTCACTTTAATAATGAGAAATCGAAACGACGAAAGTACACTTTTCACGGGTTTCTCAGTGCTGTTACTTAAGGCAAACGGCATCTCCATAGAAATCGGGTGACTTAAGTAACATCGAAAACTATTTTGATCGGAAGGTGATTACGTCAAAAAGCAATTTGACTGGTAAATAATTTTAAAAATGGGATGTGATCCTATATTCAGACAG